TGTTCCGTCAATCAATAGTGCGATAGTCATTCCATTCCCACTGACAATGTAATAAACGGTGGGAGCAAACATCTATCAATACATACCTGCAAGATTAATATTAGAACGATCTATAAACTTATCTCTCTAATACCAAATTTCGATAACCTATCTGAGGACATTATTCAAGAAACATTATTGACTGTAGAATTTTTGAAATATTCCAAAACACTACTCATTCAACCAATCATTATCAAGTATATGGGAAAAACGAAGACTTTATGAATGCTCTTGCCAGTATCCGGATAGTTTCTAGAAGGAAAAAAAGTTCCCAACAATCCTTCACAATAAGCCAAACCCACTATAGCAAAGATCTACTATAAAGAGTGTCATTGTATTAAGAATTTTTTTTATTAATATAGCGTGTCTTATTATTACTAAAAACGTACAAATGCAGTATAAAGTACTACGTAGGTATATCGATATATGGTAAAAACAAGATACTTTGCTAAACTATTTTTTTGCAACACCATATTTCTATAAATCAAACCTCAACTTCTTATCGTGAAGGTGGCAGATTCAAGTTTAAAATTTTTTATACTAATACATGTTCATTACTTCTTTTTTTTCTCTGATTGCGTTCTATTTGCTGTGGGAGTCACATCGGTATGTGTAATGAATAGGCATGCGTTTTCATTATCATCCGGTGTACGAGTACACGCGTCTTGAATATAATCTTTCAGATTATCTAAACTCTCTTCAAGTAACTTCTGGTAATTTATATAACAAAAATTTTGTAAGATAAATGTGAGAAACCAATGGAAAGCAGTTAATTACATACCCTGAATTTGAGCAATGCCGGTACTGACCGTAACATTAACCCCACTTCGACTTCATTTGTTGGCAGCTTTGATCGTAAAACTTCACAAAAAACGTATATTCCATGGGAAGGTATTGACATTTCATACACTATTATTTCATTTCTGCATGAAGTTGGAGAATGTTAATATCATAAAGTATAAATCATTTCAGAATCAGAAATACTTACAATAAACATGTAAGCCGTACAATTTTAGTAAACCTAAATTCATGCCCGCACCACCGTACTTTCTTACGATCCTGTTAATGATAACCTTCAACATTTTGGCAATTTTTAATTTATCATTAAAAAAGTGGGTATGATTGTGCTGATTCGGCGGACCACTAACTTCGCTTATAGAAAACTCAAGATCAGTTGGTTTCATAGACCAGATGATGTCTATTTTTCTGCCAGCACTACGGTCTTCCTCGTCATTTTTTTCCAAATTGCGATCCTCTGATGAAGCAAACAGGCATTTTTCACCACTGGATAAACATGCGTTAGAAAAATAATTTTGAGGAATCATATGATCATATCACGTGTTTTCAATACTCACAAGTAAATATGCAAATCTCGGTGCATTCCGCGAAATAGACTACGCATTAGAGGTGAGAGAAAGATTTCACGATATCCTAGTTCAGACAAATTATGGTCAGCGAGATCGTTGTCTCGTTCAAATGATTCAACGCTAAAGAAAAAGAACTTGAATATAAGATATAGATAGTAATAGAAGCACGTTTATCAAAATGATTCTTACAGGAGGTTCAAATAATCCCATATGAATTTTGTATTATTATTGATTCGGGTTTTCATGTAGCCCTCATCTACAAACTTACGAAAATCTTTTGTCTATATCAAGTCATATTAGTCAAGAGAGTATTAAGCAAAAGCAACAGGAGATTTTGGCATTAAAAATCATATAGTTAACTATACCTTGATAAAATCAATAATATATTGTTTCATGGTATCCGTATCATCCATTTTAATTGTTGGCAATGATTTTGATTGTCTTATTTCGTGTACTATATCTATAGGTAGTGATCGTACGAAATCACTGTTTGATCCTGGTGTGACGTCTACTATGTCGTAGAATCCTAAACTAAAATTCGACATTTGAATGTCAAATATGTCCAAACTTACAAATTTCAAACACGTGTAGTAACAAAAATACTTACTCGGTACGCGGCCAAACTTTCTTTTGTTTCCATTTAGTTAATGCGTCATGCAAATCAGTATCACCCATAATCCATTTCTCTTCATCACCTCGAATTGACTCTTCGGCGTGTAACTCTAGTTCTTCGTAAGCCACCCTGTTTAAACAGCATTATTATGTAAGAACTAGTGTTTGTAATAACCAATAAATAATTACGCGTACCTTTCTTCTTCATTATCTTGTGACTCTCCTGGAAATTCAAAACTCTGTTCTTGTTGATTTGATATGGAAGATGATGCCAGTGAGGTAGAAGATACAGTTGTATCAGGTAGCTTTTTACCGTCAAGTCTTTCGTCTAACTCTTCATGAAATGCGACATGTGCTTTACATTTCCTTCTCTTTACTTTTTTCTATTATTCGATTTTGGCTTTGTAAGTTTCATCTCAGTTTCTTAAGCTTAAATAAAACTCAACCTACATCAGCTTTTCGTTTCTCTCTTTCATCTTCATAGGAAGACCAGTCATTCCTGTACTCATCTGCTTCCCATCTCCTTTTTAAATTTAACAATTTTTCTGATTTCGGGACGTCTTGTAAAGCTTCACTTAATCGTAAACCGTAATCTTGACTACCAATTTTTTTACTGCAATATTTGAACTTCATAAAAAAGTTCACCGGGCGAGAATCTTCGCTATTCCTCAAGAAATTTCTTAGTAATGAAACGTGTCATAAAAAACGCGTCAAGTCAAGTCAGGTGATCGATTTTAATTTATTGGTTGATAAAAAATGTCACGGGGAAAAAAGATCTAATATAAATTCTCACAAAAAAAATTTTTTTTTTTCACCACTTTGTAGGAAGCATAGATTGAGCGAGTATAATGTAAGTCTAGTCTATCTTGCCAAAACAGCATAGTTGGTTTGCTCGAGCAGAAAAAACTGAGGTTAGTCGCTTGTATTCTGCGGATGCTTTCATGCACAACCCCTGCGCAAGCGTCTGCTAGGCATTAAGTTGAAGGTCGGGAAAAAACTGAGGTCATTCATCTGGATAAGCGGGGACGTTATTACCATATTTTGGGAGTCCGACCGTAAAGAGTGCGCTCGACCAGATGGATACGCTTCAACGCCTTCTATGCTTTTCAATAATGACATCTACTTTTTTTTGACTCTTGTTATACATATAACTTACGATATTAATATAAACGAAACATTTGAGTTTCATGCAACTCAAATGTCATTTTGAAAGCCTAATGTTCTATGTCTCCACAGGGAGTATTTTTCATTTGCTATCGCAATCTACATTTATTTCAAGATGAGTGAAACATTGTTATTGATTTTTCAGGTAGCGAAAGTACGCGGATCATAGGCTATCTTATGCGAGTCCCACCATCAAGTTGTTTATTGCTCTCAGAATAACTTCTACAGATAATTTATTTCTACATTTATTACTAACTACAAGATTCTCACCCCATAATATTTCTCTAGGCTAGAATTCCGAAATAAATTACATCACCTCGAATTGACTCTTCGGCGTGTAACTCTAGTTCTTCGTAAGCCACCCTGTTTAAACAGCATTATTATGTA